TCTGAGCTATAGCACAATGGGGAGGGCTTTTGCCTTGCATGCAGCCAACCCGGGTTATATCCCTGGCATCCCATATGGTCCCCAGGAGTAATTCCCAGGTGCAGAGCCAGAAGTAACCCTGAGCATCTCAGGGTATGATCCAAAAAGAAAAAAAAAACAACAAAAACAAACAGTGGGTATGGTGCTTGACTTGCCAACCTGAATTAGGTTCCCTGAGCCCTCCAGGAGTGATTTCTGAGCACAAAGCCAATAATAACCTCTGAGCATGGCCAGGTGTACCATCCCCCACATAAAAAAAAAAGCTAGGGGCCAGAGCAACAGTACAGTTGGTACAGTGCTTGGCTTGCACATGGCCAACCTAGGTTCGATTCCTTTATCCTATATGGTCCCCTGAGCCCTTCACGCCCTCAGGTGTGGCCCTAAAACAAAACAAACCAAAAGAGCCCCAAAAAGCAGGACTTAATAGTAGGATACTTTATTTTTCTACACCTATTACAACTCACTGGAGCTATTTCAAACAGGGCCAAAAAACATCATGTATTTAAAAATTTAAAAAAGGGTTTGCAGGGGCCAGAGAGATAGTTCAGTGATTAGGACACTTATTTTCCATGCAGTGGACCTGAATTTGATTCCTGACACTGCATGTGGTCCCCCAGGGCACTGTCAGGAATCTGCACTGCCCAGCCCAACCCCCCAAATAGGGTTTGCAGATCACATTCCAAGAAAGAATATTCTTTGCCCACATCAAGTGTCCTATTCCTTCTAGTGGAAAATTATGCCCCTAACAACAGCTGTTGCCACTTTGTGATCACAGGTACTCAGGAAAGGACTCATGATTGTTGTCACTCATGTTCTCCTTTGGCCCTGAGAAGTATCGAAAAAATGATTTGGTGGAAGAGTAATGGGAGCATGTAGTGGAGCTGGGAACAGGAGCAGAATGACTCATGCAGAGAATGGCCAGACAGGAGAGGCCCCAGAACTAAAGAGAAACAGGGGCCTCTGAGTCACTTGTTCAAGGCTTAAATCTGAAAGCCGTGACTCTGATTACCTCCCATTAAAAAGCCCCCATTAGAACAGGCTGTCACGTGGTCCTTTTCTCCCTTTGAACTGATTCCTGTACCTTGAGGTTTTTCTTGCCTTTCTCCTCTGCCAAACAGAGGCTGTGTTCCAACAAGTCTATAACCTTCGGGAGGAAATTCCCAGCGCACCTCTCAGCCCACACCCTTGGCACATGGAATATTTTGCTAAATCGCCTGCTTGTATGATTGTGACAGAATAATGCCCTCTCCCCAAAGGTGTCCAAATCCTAATCTGTGGAACCCAGGAATTTGTGTTATGATAAGGGAGGGGATTAAGGTTGCAGGTAGAATTATGACTGCTCATCAACTGACTTTAAAGGGATCTGGTGGGATTATGCAGGTGGGGCCTGGGTCATCGCCAGGCCTCAGACACGGGAGAGGAAGGTGTGAGGGTTAGAGTGTGTGTGGATCTAGGAAACCCCCACCGCCTTAGCTGGCTTTGGGGATGGATTGAGCCACCGAGCAGGTAGTGTGGGGAAACCGGAGAAGCTGGAAAGGAAGGAAGAAGGCTTCTCAAGCGCCTCCTCCTGCTGCCACTTTGATTTGGACCAAGTGAGAATTCATTCACGTCTGGCTCCCAGAATGGAAGAGACTAGACCTCCGGGTGTCGGTAGTTGAAGATGGTGTTAACAGGGAACATGAACAACAGCTGTTTACAAAAAAGGGGCAGAAAGAGCCTGCACTGATACTGCTGTCCATAGAAACACCCGTTTGAAATGGAGCAAACTCTGAAACTCAAGTGTGAACATCCCCAGTCCTGCCACTGCTTGGGGACACAACATGGTGACCCCCTGATTCCCATAGCTCCTGGTTTGGGTGGGGAGGAGGTGGGGGGTGGAGCTGACCACCACAGGACTGACACCAGCCCCGATGCTTGGATGCCTCTAGGACATCTTCAGCAGTGGACTCTCTCCGTGACGTTGTTTTCAAACAGGACAATCCTGTTGCTGCCAAGATGGTTCCCTGCTTTCAATGTATGGCTTCAAATATTTCATGAGGTGGAATTCAATTTTTTTTTAAAAAAAGCACCTTGAGGGCGCTAGAGAGAGAGAATACAGTGGGGAGGGCATTTGCCTTGCACATGTGGCTGTCTGGGCTTCAATCCCTGACAACCCATATGATCCCCCAAGCACTGCCCAGAGCAATTCCTGAGTCCAGAGCAATTCCTGAGCACCACTGGGTGTGGTCCAAAAACAAAACAGAAAAAAAAATCCTGTTGTCATTTATTCTTAAACTGAAAAGCTTTTTGTTAATTATAAAAGTCACAAGGAGGGGCTGGAGCGATAGCACTGCGAGTAAGGTGTTTGCCTTGCATGCAGCGAACTCGGGTTTGATTCCCAGCATCCCATATGGTCCCCTGACCACCACCAGGAGTAATTCCTGAGTGTAGAGCCAGGAGTAACCCCTGTGCATTGCCAGGTGTGACCCAAATAGAAAAAAAAATAAAATAAAAGTCACAAGGACTGGAGAGGCAGTACAGGGGCAAGAGCGCTTGTCTTGGACACAATTGATCTGGGTTAGATCCCCAGCACCCTATTTGGCTCTCTAAGTCCCGCCACGAGTGATCCCTGAGCACAAAGCTGAGAATAACTTCTGAGGAACACAAAATCAAAGGGGAAAAAAAGGGAAACAGAACTATATAATTATTATCACATAAAACTAATAAGCATGGGTGGTGGGAAATGTACACTGGTGAAGGGCCAGTTGTTGGAATGTATGACTGAAACCCAATCATGAAACAACCTTGGAACTATGTATCTCATGGTAATTCAATTAAAAAATATAATTTTTTTTTTAAAAAAGGGGGCTGGAGCGATAGCACAGCGGGTAGGATGTTTGCCTTGCACGTGGCCGACCCAGGTTCGATTCCTCCGTCCATCTGGGAGAGCCCAGCAAGCTACTGAAAGTATCCTGCGCACATGGCAGAGCCTGGCAAGCTCCCCATGGCGTATTCAATATGCCAAAAACAGTAACAACAAGTCTCACAATGGAGACATTACTGGTGCCCGATCCAGCAAATCGGTGAAAAATGGGAGGACAGTGACAGATAGTGCTACAGACAATTAAAAAAAAAAACCTAACCAGCATTTCCATTATTTGTTTCTTCTTTTGTATCTGGAAACAGGTTTTCCCACAAATAATGACCTCCCTGGCTTCTTTTCCCTGGTGTTTGCTGCAAAGGCTGTGAAGGGAGAAGCGAGGGTCTGGTGTAGCCCTGGGGTGGGCTTACCCTCATCCTTGACCTTTGGACGTCCATTTCAGACTATTATTTGTTTTGTTTTGTTTTTTGATGCTTAAATTCTAGGAGAACTTTTTTTTAAACTGAATCACCATAAATTGCAAAATTACCCATGATTGAGTTCCAGATGGCTAATGTTCCAACACCAATCTGTCTGCCAGGGTCCAAGTTTCCCTCTCCCCCAGCCTGCCTCTACAACAGGCACTTTTTTTTTCCTTCCCTCCCCCCCACCCCCCACCGCTTTTGGGCCCTGTGGTTTAAAGTACTGTTACTGATGGATATCATGCATGTCACTTTCCCTCCTTTCAGAACCCAGTTCTTGTCCAGAGTGACCACTTCCCTCTATCATTGTCATAGTGGTCCCTTCCATGACCTATGCCCCAACCCAGCCTGTCCCTGCCTGTCCTGCTAGGGATCACTTCTCCTGCGCTTCATTTCTATTGCCTTTGGGCATTAGTCCCTTATATTCTGCATGTGACTATTTCCTTCCCAGTCCTCATTAGCACAACTGAGCATCAATCAGGGCTTCAGAGCTTCTCTGTTTGACCCTGACTGGATTCTTCCAGGTCCTGAAAACAGCTGTTGGCTGTGCAGCCAAGTGTTTGTGTGGCCATACTTCTGCACATTCTGTAACCAGCAGCAATTTGGTTGTATAAAATGTGTGTTTCAGACCAGCTTGTCTTCACATTTGAGATCTGCTTCCTATGACATGTAACAAATAGGCTTTCTGTTTTATGCAACTGCCCCCTGAGCGACACAAAACACAAATGTTTTGGGAGCAGTGAATGCAAAAGAAGGTGCAGGTTGTTCCCAAAGTGATGTGAGCTTGCACAGGTATGCTCCATGCGCTTTTCAGTAAATGGCCCAGCTCCCGGGCTGTTTTAAGCACATCTGGCACGACACATGTTATTATTGCCCACATCTGGAGCTCACAATGTTCAACTACTGAAAAGATACCGCCCTCTATCTTGGTCTCTTCTTGGAGGAGGGGATGTATAAACACAGGTACCCACTGTTTAACAAGCGAAGGAAGGAAAAATTTTAACATCTTCCTTGAGCTCAGTGATTGAAAGAGTCAGGAAGCCCAGCAGGAACCAGACTTGTACAGCATGCTTTACATACTTTCCTGGCATGCTTCTGACCAGGGTTTCATCCCCGTCACCCTATATGGTCCCCAGCCCTGCTAGGAGCAATCTCTGAGTGCAGAGCCAGTAGTCAGCCCTGAGCACTGCTGTGTGCCTCCACCACCATCACAAAAAAAAAAAAAGAAAGAAAGAAAGAAAGAAAGAAAGAAAGAAAGAAAGAAAGAAAGAAAGAAAGAAAGAGGAAGCACAGCAGCAAGTTGCTAATCAATGAGTTTAGGGTGGGGAGTGCGATTTTCTTTTGTCCTAGAAAGTCCCTTTGCATGGCCTTGTAGAATCACCCTGAAGCGATGGACACATGAACAGTCCAGAAAGAGATTCTCAGAGAGCGTGAGTCAGAAGCACGAGTTCTGAGAGCCTGGGCTCCAGAGACCAGATCAGGCAGTGCTGCTTAATACCATCACATGATCGCCCCGAGGCCCTGCGTTTAATTAAAACGGGCGCGGGGGCTCTCCGGAGCCCAGAGGCGCACAGTTGTTCCCTTGGTAGGAGCCCGGCAGCTCCGCGAAGCCCAGGTCACCTGGGGCTGGAAGACACAGCATGGACCTCTGCTGGCTGGCCTTCCTGCTTCTGGCCACGACTACGGTGCCGCTGGATGCTGCCAAACGTGAGTAACTCGGAGCCTGCTCCACTCTTCTCCCTGACTTCTGGTGCAGGTGCCGCGTCGGAAGTTGGGGTTGGCCTTGAGGCCGGAGCGACAATGATGCTACAGCAGGCAGAGAGCTCTCCTTGCCTGCGGCCCCATGTTTCCCCCAGCATCCCCAGGACTCATCCCTGAGCATAGCCTGATGTGGTCCCCAAACAAAATACAGGAAGCCGGTCTTCTAGAGCATCATTTCTCACCCGCCTCCCCAGGTGACCAAGATGGGTCAGAGGCAAAATTATGTAAATGGGGGCCATAGTGTGAGACCCGGTGGTCAGTAGATAGGACCCAGGGCCACACAGAGGATCAGGGGGCCACAGTAACAGGCTCAGGAGCTCCGGTCTAAGAGTTCTCGCATTTCTTCAAAAACCACTGAGAATGTCCCCCCCAAAAAGCCTCCATCCAGCTCCATTCTTTGCCCCAGACTTGTGGGAAGTAAAAAGCTCGCAAAGGCTTTTCTGTCTGGTGACCTTCTGCCTCCCAGCAGGAGAGTGGGGACTTGACATTTCTCCAGAACTTAGAGACTAACCCCTTCTCTGCTGTCACCTGGGCAGGATGGCTGGGCAACAAGCCCACAGAGTGACAGTCCTAGAACCGAGTTGAACAGATGCTGCCTCAAGAACCTGCCAGATCTCGCTCTACCTAGCAAGGGGTCTGCCCAAGACTCCCACAACACACGTACACACACACACACACACACACACACACACACACACACACATACTCCAATGGGCACTTGTTATGATTGAAGTGAAGCTGATATGCAGGTCAGTGGAATCAGAATCATTGGAGGTGAGTCCGGACCTGCTGCTCCTCTCGAGACTGGAGTGAAGGCAAGGAAGAGTGGCGGGTGTGGGCCTAGGGGAGCCCATACTGGGGGGTGGAAGGAAGAAGGGAATGATACCTCACCCCACAGTGCTCCCTCCCTCACTCCAATAGAGGAGAGATGCTCACTAGAGAAACTCCCAAGGACTTCATGGAGGAGGGGTTAGCTGAGAAACAACTGGCACCCCCTTGCCCACAGCACCAATCTCTGCTCTTGCCTAACGGCACCCCTCACCAGAGCCTCTCCTTAGTCCGCAGGGGAGAAATCTTGCTTTTCACCTGCTCCGTGCAGTTCTGGTGCCCTTGTCTCCGCTGGTTTCATGCCCTCTCCTTTCTGGAGAAATGCCCTTTATGATTTGGTTGGCACAGTCTGTGGTTCTCAGGCCGCTCCCAGCTCTGGGCCTGGGATGTTCCCAGGCTCCCAGAGGGTCACTCTGGGCCATTGTCTGCCAAGCATGCACTCAGCCCGGTGGACACTCTCCAGAGCCCAGAAAAAGTCCTGTAACTTTTCTGCAGAATCTGTCTGGGCAGGTATGGAGGGTGCAGAGCCATGGGTGCCCCCGAGTGCTCTGCAGCTGGGTCGCCCTGCCCTCACCCCACCCTGCCTTTGAAAAAGGAATCCTCAGGGAGTGCCAGGAAGGGAGGAGCCAGCCATGAGGGTCCTGAGTCCCTGGTGAGGAAACAGACCACAGCGAGGGGGATGAACTTGCCTCAAGCCACACATTCTTCCTTCCTGCGGTCGGACACAGATGGACTTGGTGCCCTGGAGTTGAACCACAGTGACTTAGGCCCTCTGGCTGAGCTTTCAGTTTCCCAGTTTGCAGAGATAAATGGCCTGGCTTCTGTAACCTTGGCTCCTACAAGGAGGTTGGGACACCAGAGGTACCTGGGAGCAGGCGACTTCCCTCCGTGCAATGCCCAAAGAAGACTCCCCTCTAGTCTACATGCTGGGGAGGTGGGACCGCAGAGAACTGCCACCTGGAAAGTGATGGTTCCTTTTCCGTGGCCCTTTTTTTGCTCAATAAAAGAGATGTGCCTGGGGCTGAGGCTTGGTTGTTGGCTTGGAAGGAATCCCAACCTACCAGAATCAGCAAAACCAGACATGCCCTGGACAGCAGAAGAAACAAGGAAGGATAGGAATTAATAGTGTACCAGACACCAAACTATTCCTAGCCTTTCTCTAATAAAAGAAGACCAAGAAGAAGAAAGTGCAGAAATCTGCAGGATAGATAACTCTCAGTCCTCTGTGCTGGAGTGTTGGTTGAAAGTAAAATCAGTGGTGTAGCTGTGACTCCATCCGTGCCCCAATCCCTCTTTTCTTTCAGTTTGCTTATAATTTCCTTTTTAAAATTTGCTTTATTTTTGAGCCACACCAGGCAGTGCTCAGGGTTTATTCCTAGGCTCTGTTCTCATGCTCAGGGATCTCTCCTGATGGAGCTCAGGGTACCATATACAGTGCCAGGGATTGAACCATAGCTAGTGAGTGCAAGGCAAGTGCCTCAACCCTATTCTCTCTCTCCCTCTCTATTACCACCCCCTCTCTGACCTCATGATTTTAAGTAATAATAAAAACACATGATAAGTTACTGTATACCTGTCAGAATAAAATATGGTGCAGAGATTAAGGCACTGCCTTGCACGCAGCTAACCTCAGTTCAATACCTGGCACTTCACACAGTGCCCCGAGCACAACCCAGTGCGACTTGCAAACAAAAAGCAAAAATACCTGACTGCTCTCTGACTCTATTACAGCAAATTTTTAGTTATAAATATTTATTGATAGACACACATTTTCTGACTTTTCTGAGTGATTGTTTTCAAACGGAAACAGTTTTTCAGGACTACAGGTCTAGAACCCAGATCCAGGAGTAAACCCAGAAGAACATAGAATGTGGCCTTCATTAAAAAAAAAAAGCCAAAAGAAAAAAATTAAAAAAGTAATTGGAGGAGATTCTCCAACACCTCTAGAGAGACTCTCCAGAGAAAAGCACTGAGCAATCCCTGAGACCTGCCAGGGGTGCTTCCCTCAAGAAAATATTATGAATTCAAAATATTTATATTCTTTATATTAAAGATATTTCATTCTTGGAAGCAATTATTTTGAAAATTGATTTGAGAAATTCACGCAATACTTTCTCAGGAGTTCAAGAATAACTTACTCAAAGTAATAAATTTTGAAACCCTCCTCTAATATCCTGCCAAATGAGAAGGAAGTTTGAACAGTCATGATTCATAACTGTAACAGTGAATATATTGATTTGGACACCAGTTTGTAATGTATTGATGTAAGAAACAAGAACAAAGTTTAATAAAGAATAAAGAATCGTAAGTCCTAAGTAATGTTCCCATAGAACACCATAGAACATAGTAAAAATCTACCTCATCCTTTCCTTTCTTTTTATCTCCATTACATAAGTTAAATATTGCCTTAGTGTTCTAAGTACAAGTATCTTTTAAATGTTATCTACCCTTCTTTGTGTAGCTAAATTTTACTTGTTTCTTTCAGTGCCCTCAGTTATTTTATGTGGCAAAAAGACTGTTTGAGAAGTTTGCTTTAAGATCAGTCAGGGATTGAGAAAAAAATCAGTGAGATAAATCTTTGAAACTTTAGATAAATGTAAGAGGGATCACACGTTGAGGTCCAGAGGTCACACACTGATGGGGGCTTATAAGTTTCTAGAGCTAAAAACAGGGTCATGAGACTTGAAACTTACAGTGATCATGCAAATATAGATCTTAATGAACTCATGAGGTACACAGTGTTAGGTGATGCTTCCTTTGTAGATCAAAGCTAAGTATCTGACTTTGTCCAAGGGGGGCAGGGAACCCAGTAAAGTATTTTAAGAATTAAAAAAAAAAGTAATTGGAGGACCCGGAGCAATAGTACAGCAGGTAGGGTGTTTGCCTTGCACATGGCCATCACAGGTTCAATCCCCAACATCCCGTATGGTCCCCTGAGCACCACCAAGAGTAATTTTTGAGTTCAGAGCCAGGTGTAATCCTTGAGCATTGCCAGGTATGGCCAAAAAATAAAACAAACAAGCAAAAAAAACCGGATTAAATATTTTTAACATTGGAGCAACATCCCAGATCAAACCAAGTCATATCTAAGAGAAGAAGGGAAGGCTGGATAGTTTAAAGGAATAGAGTGTATGCTTAGCATACAGGAGCAGATTCGCCCCTCTCTTCACACATAGTACCCCCAGCACCTCAAAAGGGAGAGTACTCCCATACACGGGAGTAATACCTGCACATTGTTGGGTATGCCCCCCACCACCAATAAATAAATAATAGAATTTCCATACGATCCTGCTATTCCACTCCTTGGTATGTATTCCCACCTCCAGGAACACAAAAACATTAATTAAAGAACCCAGGAGAGAATTGAAATGACTAGCGTGTGTGCCTGGCTTGCAGGAGGCCTTGGGTTATAGACCTGAGCACCATATGGTCCCCCAAGCACAGCTAGGTCTAATCCCCAACAAAGCATCAGAAGTCACAAAAACAAGCAAAGATGATTCTTGATGATTAAAAAAAAAACGGGGCTGGAGCAATAGCACAGCAGGTAGGGTGGTTGCCTTGCATGCGACCGACCCAGGTTCGATTCCCAGCATCCCATATGGTCCCCCGAGCACCGCCAGGAGTGATTCCTGAGTGCAAAGCCAGGAGTACCCCTGAGCATCGCTAGGTGTGACCCAAAAAGCAAAAAAAGAAAAAAAAAACAGCTCATTAAAGGGACAGCACATCCTAAGCAGAGCTTCAAAGACCAAGCCAAAAACTGACACAACTGAAAGAAGAAGTTCTCAAATTGGGAAATCCATCATCAGAATGGAAGGTTTCAACATGCCTCTCTCTGTTATAAAGTAACAAGTGCACAGAAAATCAGGAGGGTTGAGGTTGTTTCACAACACTGGCAAACCAACTTGGCACAAACCCTATGTAAAAAAAAAATTCCTCTGGCTGGTGGTATAGCTCCTGCAGAATACTCGCTTGAATCCTTGTAGGTATGACCCTAGATCCAATAATTCAATCCCAACATATCTGCATGTGTCTGTGTCTGTGTCTGTCTATCTCTGTGTCTCTGTGTCTGTCTCTGTCTCTCTTTCTCTGCCTCTCTGTCTCTGTCTCTGTCTGTCTCTCTCTCTGTCTCTGTCTCTCTCTCTCCAGAAATGTAAATGATGCAAGTTCCTGTGGAACATTCTCCAACGCAAACCATGCCCTGGGCTGTGAACCTTTAGGTTGATCAGCAGTTGGCTCTTCAGAGCTGTGTGCAGCATGGCCATGGTGAGGTTCCGGAGTCCCAGCTGCTGGGGCGGCTGAGGCCAGAGGATCATTCTGAGTCTAGTGGGCTGCAGTGTGCTATGCCTCTTGGGTATCCACATTAAGTTCAGCATCAACAGGGTGACCCTCTGGGAGAGGGGGACCACCAGGTTGCCTAAGAAGGGGTGAACTGGCCCAGGTGGGAAAGAGCACGTGAGAGCTGCATGAATCTCTTGGAATCCTTGAGGAATTCCTAAGTCTGCCATTCTTTCAGGGAAAGTTTGGGATGGGAAAAGATGCCAAAGATGATCAGATCATTCAGCTCATTGGGGTCAGAGTTTTTCTAAAGAGATTCAAACAGGGGCAATAGTACAGCGGGTAGGGTGATTGCCTTGCATGCTGGCGACCCAAGTTAGATTCCCAGCATCCCATATGACCCCCTGAGCACCGCCAGCAGTAATTCCTGAGTGCAGATCCAGGAATAACCCCTGAGCATTGCTGGGTGTGACCCCCCCCCAAAAAAAGAGAGAGATTCAAACATCAATCAGAGGCTCCAGATCTGTATTGAGATACCAATGATAACTGAGAAATACTTTGAAATTTTACCTTCCTTCATGCAGAGGTAGGGTCTGCATGCTTGAAAGCATGGGTATTTACAATAATTTTAAAAAATTACAATAATTAAAAAAAATTGTGTGTGGTGGGAGGTAGGGGGAGTGGCAGATGCAGGTCACACCTAGGGGTGTGACCTAGAAGATCATGCAGCGCTGAGAAGCAAAGCATCCCTTCAGCTCATCATGATGTTTACCCAGCCCTCTGGGGTGTGTGTGGGGCGGGGGTGGGGGGGTGGGCACAGAGGTGGGAATTAAGTACCTTTATTTGCTTGGCCTATTTGAAAAAAGTGCTTTCCAACCTTATGAAATGAAAATTTGCCTGAACCAGTTAATTATACTAAAGAAGAAACGGAACAGACCAATCATTTTTCTCTTCATATATTGGTACAGGCTTTCGTGACGTGCTGAGCAATGAAACACCTTCCAGTTTCACGAGGGAGCACAACCAGTTAGACGGCTGGTCTTCAGATGAAAACGAATGGAATGAGAAACTCTACCCAGTATGGAAGAAGGGAGACTCAAGATGGAAAAACTCCTGGAAAGGTAAATGAAAAGAATCAGCCCCAATATTCGAAGTGTCCTATCCCAGAAATTCTCATGGGCTGTAGCCATGGCTCTTATTGTTTCTGAGAATGATGTTTTCTTGTTTCAAATTGGGGGTGGAGTGAAGGTGAGCTAGATTCTGCCACCTTTCTTTAATCCTAACTAAATTATTTTCTAAGCTACAAAATGTTGTTTTATCTCCTTAGAAATGTACAAGTTGGTGATTTGGAATATTCTGGAGACCAGCCAGCAGCTTTAGCCTTAAGCAATTTAGCTGCTGTGGGAATGACCTTCTTTTGTAAGTTCTGAGACTCCAGAGTAATTTTGGACCATCTCAAAAGTGTGGCTTAAGGGTTTTTAAAAAATTATTATTAAGTCATTGTGAGATGCACAGTTACAAAGTTGTTCACGAATGGGTTTCAGTCATACAATGTTCTAACACCTGTTCCTTCACCAGTGCCCATTTCCCACCACCAATGTCCCCAATTTCCTTCCCTCCACCCCCACCTCCAGTCTGCCTCTACAACAGGAATAATTCTCCTCCTCCTCCTCCTCCTCCTCCTCCTCCTTCTCCTCCTCCTCCTCCCCCTCTTCTCTATGGTTTGCAATACAGATACATAAAGGTCATCACGTATATCCCTTTACCTACTTCAAGCACTCAGTTCTTGTCCAGAGTGATCATTTCCAACACTCATTGTTATCATGGAGGTACTGGGATTTGCAGAACTGTTAGTTATACTTTTCATGCATGAACCAGAGAGCCCACTTATGTCCTAAGGACACCTCCAGCTGCCCTTCCCTGTAAGCTCAGTTCCTTAGACAAGCTCTCCAGATGTGCACCATTATTATTATTATTATTAAGTAAATGTTTTTTCTTTAGTTGCTGAATTCCTTAACTGGTCTGGTATTTTAAGTTTCTCTTCTAGAATAATGAGCTCTGTAAAATAAAGTTAGAGATCAAAGAAACAAATGACCATATCATAAAGAGCCATCAGAGGCAGAAGGAGCTTCTGGTTCTTCTTCACAGACTTAGTTTTATTTTGTAGCAGCAAAAGGAGCAGGATCGCTTTCATCTCTGACCTCTGCTCTCTTCTGTCCTAGGAGGCCATGTGCAGGCGTCTCTGACCAGTGACTCACCGGCTCTGGTGGGTTCCACCATCACCTTTGTGGTGACCCTGGTATTTCCCAGATGCCAAAAGGAAGACGCTGATGGCAACATCGTTTATGAGAAGAACTGCAGAAACGGTATGGAGGTCTTGTGTGTGATCAGGGTCGACTAGTTCTCCCACAAAGTCCAGAGTCCTGTCTCATAAACCTTAATGCTCACTGGTACTTTTCTAAATGTCAGATGTGGTCATCAACCTTGTCACCTGCTTCTCAAGCCAGTGTAGACAGCTGGAAGTCTCCACGGTGTGGGCCCTTCTTCAAAGACTCCATCACAGAAGGCTTTTCCTTTGTGTCCAGTTGATTGGATCCCAAAATTCCTTAGTGATTCTGGTTTTGATTGTGTTACTTGAAGTTCCTTTGGTTACTCAAAGTCTGATCAGTTTGACAGATACTGGACTCCTTTCATTTCTGCCCCTCAAGTGTCTTGAGCAAATGGTGTGTAAGTAGCTGTGCGAAAATGCTCTGTGACTAGCTAAAGTGTGTGCATCATGTTCTTAGTTACAGCAGATAAGGTTTTGGTCCATGTTAAAGAGTGCAAAGGAGCACAAGTGCATCAAGGAAAATTATCTTGTTGGAATGTACATTCTGAAACAAAAGCCTGCATAATTACCGAAATTCTTCCATTAGTCACAGCATTAAATGTACTTACAAGCTGATTTTATTACTTAGAACTTCTATTAAATTGTCAGTGTAACTACTTCATATTCACTTATCATCTTCTTAAGAGGTGCATTTTTTATTTTGTATGAAAAAGATCTGATATTCTTTTTAAAATTTTGGCCATTTTTTAGTGTTGTGGGTTTTTTTTTTTACCATTTTTCCTTTCTTCTGATTCTTGTAATAGTGACAATTTAGCCACTTAAGCATGTGAAATTGTCTTGTGACTTAAGAGAATTTTTATGAAATATCTTTAAGAGGAAAATACTATGAAGAGGAACTAGGGGTTTTTTCTTGTTTGTTTGGTTTTGATGCTGTTGTTTTTGTTTTTGGGCCACACCTGCAATGCTCAGGACTTACTCCTGGCTCTGCAATCAGAAATCACTCCTGGTAGTGTTTGGGGACCATACGAAACGCCCGATGGTACCCCAGTTAGTCAGGCACGTGCAAGGCAGATGCCCTCCCACTGTGCTGCAATCCAGCCCTATGTCTTGTTTTTGTTTATGAATCACTTGAAGAGACAAACAGCCCTTGAGTGCCCTGGGGTGCAATGTCTGTGCCCACAGCCAAGTGCTCCGCTCTTGGGGGAAGAGCTCTCCCATCCTGTGAATCGGGGGAAGCTACTTAGGAGCCATCAAAAGAAAAAGGTAAAACACTCAAACACTCCTCCCTTTGGTTTGGACCCAGCTGTGATTTGGAGACCCAACCGTGGAGGAAAATGAAGATGCTCTCTCTGGATTGAGCCTTTGTGAATAATTGCTATTTTGAAACAGAAGTATTAATGCAGAAAGACACAGAGATCATTAATCTGTCACTGGATAGGTTCTAAACACTAGCTCTTTGTTGTCTATTATTTCTACTGGTTGTGGAAAAATCTGGAGAAATGTTTATATAGTGATGAACTGTGGTTTCTTCCTTCTTTCCCTGCGCAGAGACGGGCCCCACCCCGGACCCCTATGTGTACAACTGGACGGCGTGGGCAGACGATGGGGACTGGGCAAACGACACCGGCCGCGGCCATCACCACGTGTTCCCCGACGGGAGGCCTTTCCCTCACCCGCCAGGATGGAGGAAACAGAATTTCATCTACATTTTTCACACTTTTGGTTAGACCTTCACAAACCCCTTAGGGTTTTCAAGGGTGGGGAGGGGGTTGAGCAAACACCTGGCAGTGCCCAGGGCTTACTTCTGGCTCTGTGCTCAGGGCTTACCCCTGACCCGTGCTCAGGGCTTACTCCTGACCTGTCCTCAGGGCTTACTCCTAGCTCTGTGCTCAGGAGACATTCCTGCTGGGCTCGAAGGACCGTATGTGGTGCCAGGGGTGAGTGGCATGCAAGAAAGCACTTTACCCACTCCAGGATCTCTTTGACCCATCAAGTGGTCACTTATAAAAAGAACAAATTTGGGGCTGGAGATAGCACAGAGGGTAGGGCGTTTGCCTTGCACGCAGCCAACATGGCCGACCCAGGTTCAATTCCCAGCATCCCATATGGTCCCCGAGCAACGCCAGGAGCAATTCCTGAGTGCATGAGCCAGGAGTAACCCCTGAGCATCGCCGGGTGTGACCCAAAAAGCAAAAAAAAAAAAAAAAAAAAAAAGAACAAATTTAAGTTTTCAGCAAAGCCCCCAAGTTTTTATTTAAAAATATAAAGGCTTTAAAAATAATAGAGAGGGGGCTGGAGTGATAGCACAGTGGGTAGGGTATTTGCCTTGCAAGCGGCTGACCTAGATTCAATTCCCAGCACCCCATATAGTCCCCTGAGCACCTCCAGGAGTAATTCCTGAGTGCAGAGCCAGGAGTAACCCCTTGCATCACTGAGTGTGTCCCAAAAAGCAAAATAATAATAATAATTATTATTATTATATAATAGAGAGGGCAGGGTGCTTTACCTTGCACCCGGGTTCAACCCCTGGCACCCCATATAGTTCCCTGAGCCTGCCAGGAGGGATGGATCCCTCAACATAGAACCAGGAGCAAACCCTGAACACTGCCAAGTACGGACCCAAAAAATACATGTATATATATGACATATATACATATATTTTGCTTATATATACATATATGCACATATGTATATAATATTTATATACATACAAACATATATGTGCCATGTGGTGGGTGTGGTATTGAGGAGGTAGCACAATAAGACCCTGAACTTGATTCTCAGCCCTGCATGTTCCCCACCCCACCCCCACCTCCACCCACCTGGACCCAAGCAATGCTGTATCACCAAACAGAACCATCCAACCCCCACACCTCACAAAGGGGGCTGAATAACCCCAGAAATAGCCCCTGAGTCCCCTGAGTCATGCTGGAAAGGGTCTTTCCACCCCCAAGAAACTCGCCAAGGTATTACATGGTTTTGAGTATTTGAAAACTGCTTCTGTTGTGCAGTCCTATAAACACAAATTTCTAAATATTTTGTCTTTCTTTGTAAATTAGAAAAAGCTTCCCTTTCTCCAACTGATTTACAAATCAAAACAAAATGCCAACCAACACTAGAGTCCAATATAAAAATCTGCATCTGTTTAAAGCAAGAGCACTTAAGCCCAACTTCTCTGGGCTGTGGCCGTCCTGTCCCTCAGCTCCCCAGTGCCTCCATCTCTGTGACCGGTAGTGTTCTGACCATTAGCAGTGCAGTCTTTTATGTCAACACTCCCCATATCCATGACCTAAACACAGTCTTAATTTAAACAAGCCTCCAGCAGAGAGAGGGCTGCTTTTTCGAAGATGGCTTTTTCGAAGTAAGCCCATCTCTGCCAAGGTCTCAAAACTCAGAGCCTCTCAGCCTCTCGGCCTGTAGTCTGTCTTCCAGTGCCTGTACAAACATTTTGCTCATCTGTTGCTGACCCTCCCCTCCAAGACATGCTTCCCCCACACCTTCGAACAGTACATAGTTCTTAGAAGACCACTGTGTGCCTTTCTGACACATTTGACCCCAGAGCCAATATGGTCCTTAAACATCCCTGGCTCACAGGTATCCCTGCACACTGTCCCTTCCTCTCTGTCAAGTGTCTTTGTGTGTGTGTGTGTGTGTGTGTGTGTGTGTGTGTGTGTGTGTGTGTGTCACACCCAGTGACATTCAGGGGTTACTCCTGGCTCTGCACTCAGGAATTACTCCTGGCAGTGCTTGGGGGACCATGTGGGATTCTGGGGATTGAACTCAGGTTGGCTGCATGCAAGGCAAACACCATACCCACTGTGCTATTTCTCTAGCCCTGTCAGGTGTCTTCAGAGGATTAGAGACAGCCTTACACTGTGAGGATGGCCATACGAAGGCAGGCAGATTCAGAGAGGATTAGAAAAAGAGAAAGTATTGCTCAAGGACATTTTAGAAGTATGAATGTGTGGGGCTGAAGTCACAGTGCAGTGGATAGGGCATTTGCCTTGCACATGGCTGACCCAGGTTCAATTCCCAGAATTCCATATGGTCCCCCAAGCACTGCCAGGAGTAATTCCTGAGTGCAAATCCAGGAGTAACCCCTGAGCATCGCTGGATGTGACCCAAAAAGCAAATAAATAAATAAATAAATGAAACACTTGAATTTCAAGTACCAGATCCTTACACAAAGGGTGAACTTCTAAAACAAGCACTGCTGTTATTTTTCCCTCTGGATAGTCCTTTTAGTCCTAAGCAGCTCTATGCCCTTGGGTTGATAGGGCAAGGGAGCATTTGAGAGGGTTTGTAATGAGCTGTTTCCTCTCTGAAGCAGCCGGCCACATTCCCACCCTGCTCAGCACCACTGAGCTCTCTGAACACTCATGAATCCTTAAGAAACAGAGTCTTAGGACCAGAGAGATAGTACAAGTGGGTTAGACACTGCCTTGCACATAGCTGACCTGGGTTCGGTCCCTGGCATCCCTTATGGTCCCCTGAGCACCACCAGGAGTAATTCCTGAGTATAGAGCCAGGAGAAACCTCTGAGCATTTCTGGGTGTGGTCCAAAAATGATTTAAAAAAGAAGAAGCAGCAGGAATGTCCTCAAATGACCAGTTAACAACATTAGTTAACCACTAACAATGACTTTTCATCATTCTCTTAAAGGTCAGTATTTCCAGAAAAAGGGCCGGTGTTCAGCAAGCATCTCTGTAAACACAGCCAACATAACACCCGGCCCTCAGCTGATGGAAGTGATTGTCTACAGGAGACAGTGGCGCACCTACGTCCCCGTCGCCAAGGTGAAAGATGTCTACATGGTCACAGGTGAGTGGAGACCATGTAGTGGCCCCAGGAAGAAGCCCCAGGAGCTGGAGCTGTGGGTCAGACACAGGCAAATCTGAATGGGGTGCTCAGTCCCTCTGTGTTTTCCCAAGATCGTTGTGCCCCATCTTTGTTTTCTGAAATGACTTGGAGAAAATGTACATACAAAAAGGGAAAACTATATGGAATATCCATTTTTTATATATTTTTTAATGTACTCCTAATTTTTTCCATCTCTAGGTTGCCTTTTTTAGTTATTTGATCTTTGTTTGCCCCATAGATTTACTATAGTAGATATTACACTGAAGGCATATTGTCATTTATTATAACTAGGTATTTTGGAGTATATAGTAATGCCCCTCTCGGAGAGCCTGGCAAGCTACCGAGAGTATCTCACTCACATGGCAAAGCCTGGCAAGCTACCCGTGACGTATTTGATATGCCAAACATAGTAACAAGTCTCACAATGGAGACATTACTGACAACCTGATGAACAACGGGAGGACAGTGCAGTGCTGTAGTAATGCACCTCTCAGAGCCCGGCAAGCTACCGAGAGTATCCCATTGGCATGGCTGAGCCTTGCAAGCTACCTGTGGCATATTCGATATGCCAAAAACAATAATAATAATAGGCCTCATTCCCCTGACCCTGAAAGAGCCTCCAATATGGCAGTGTTGGGAAAGACGAGTAAGGAGAGGCTGCTTAAAATCTCAGGGCTGGGACGAATGGAGACGTTACTGGCGCCCGCTCGAATAAATCAGTGAACAATGGGATGACAGTGATACAGTGATACTCCTTAGGCCTGGGCAGCAGTACAGTTTTAGGCCCTTGCCCTGCATGTAACCAACACCCCGGCACTATGATGATCCCCCAAGCACTGCCAGGAAGTGATCCTAAGCACAGAACAAAATACACAAAAATAAAACAAATAGACCTTTCCCCCTTCCCTTCTCTCTTTCTCTGGCGGGGACCTGGACCACTCCTAAGCTGTGCCAGGAGATCCCAGGGCCCCATGGTGGTCTCAGCCACCCAACCGTATGCTTAGAGCAAGCTGAAGATGCAGTACTGCTTGGGTCCCCAGGGCCAGGTTCCTGACGGTGCTGGGGGTCTCATCTCCAGGGCTTCACCTGCCTGGTGATGTCAGGGACTATGTGATACTGAAAATTGAACCCAGATTGTGTGCATGCTAATCATGCACCCTAACCACTGAACTATACCACTAAGTCTCCCTTTTTGCTGTTGATGTCCCTGCCACGTCAGAAAAGTCATGCACTAGGTTGTGGAAACTGCCTGGAACTTCACCCCTTTGGTTGTGTTGCATGGAACATCACATACTTACAGAACCAGAAATCATGGTGTGGGAGCCTGAGAGATAGTACCGCAGGTAGGGCACTTGCCCTGCACACAGCCAACCTGGGTTGCATCCCTGGCATCCCACACGATCCCTTGAGTACCATCAGAAATGATCCCTGAGTATAGAGCCAGGAGTAATTCCTGGGCATCTCCAGATGTGGTTGAGAACCAAAAAGAACAAAATGACAGGTGCCTGCCGTGAGCACGCCCAGTCACGTGAGACAGTATTGGGACTCCAGGTCATAGTTTCGTACCTGTAGGCACTCAACCACCACAAGCCCCTTCATGTTCACTTCTTTGGGCACGGGTGAGCGGGTGTGCCCACACCTGGTGAGACTCAGGAAACCATATACAATGCCAGGGATGGAACCCAGGTCAGAATCATGCATGGCAAGTGTCCTCCCCGCTGTACTCTCTCTCTGGCCCAGGTGTTCCTTTATCTACCCAGGACCATCACTGAAGACCTCCATCTGAAATCATGCCATCATGCATTTTTCCTTCCTTGGGGGATGTCTTTTAGATCAAATTCCTGTATTTGTGACTATGTCCCAGAAGAACAATAGAAATGCATCAGATGAAACCTTCCTCAGGGACCTTCCCATCGTCTTCGATGTCCTGATTCATGATCCCAGCCACTTCCTCAATGAGTCTACCCTTTACTACAAGTGGAAGTTTGGGGATAACACGAGCCTGCTGGTTTCCCAGGATCACACTTTGAATCACACATACATGCTCAACGGGACCTTCAACCTCAACCTCACCGTGCAGGCCACAGTACCAGGGCCTTGTCCGCCCCCTTCCCCGGAGCCACCGAATGCCACCACCCCAGGTTAGTGCCTCTCAGGGTTCCTCAATACCAAAAGAAAAGAATATTCCATTCAGTGGTATTATTGGATCTCTGGATAGAAAGGTCTTTGAGAGACCATTTATTCCATGCTATACCTGTTTTTAATTTTTTTATTGAATCATCATGAGATATCCCATTATAAAGCTGTTCATGATTGACTTTCACTCATACGGTGTTCCAACACCCATCCCTTCACCAGTGTACATTTCCCAGTATGTTGGGTCTTTTTTTTTTTAATCAATTCAGTCTTAAATTGAACCACAGTGAGATACACAGTTACAAAATTGTTCATGATTGGGTTTCTGTCATATAATGTTCCAACACCCATCCCTTCATCAGTGTACATTTCCCATCACCCACGTCCCCACTTGGTTTTTAAGACATTTTATCAGCATTCTAAGATGTGAAGGACAGTAGGTTTGGTTTTGTGTATGTGTGTGTTTTGGTTGTTTGCTTGCGTTTTTTGAGCCAACCCACAGATTCTCAGGGCTTACTCCTAGCAGTGCTCAAGGAACCATCTGGGACTGCACCAGGGTTTGTCAGCAGCATGCCAGTCCAGTGCCTTAACCCTTATGCTGTCTTCACAACCCCAAGACAATGGACTTAGAGTCACTTTGCAAGTGAAGTTTGGTACCTTGTCAACACCGTTTGCCCGTCTGTGCCCGCGCTGGCCTTTGTGGGCAAGCAGGTGCTTTCCCTCGAGCCCATCACATTTCTCTTTGCCTCCCAGTTTTTGTAGCCTGAAGTAAAGGTGTGTGGCCGCCTCTTCCAGACATCCAGCCCGTTCCTCCTCTCCGTGCATCCCTCCCACATTGCCTCCACTCCCACTCTCCTCCCAACCTGCCCACAGCTCCTGTGAAACCCATCCAGGCTTGAAAGGAGTGGCCATATGACCAATGAAAATCTAAATTCTGAGAATTTCTGAACTAGGAATTTAAAGACTCCAGACATTAAGATTGTTCTGGTAGGCATAATCGATGAAATCTTACCATTTCCTGATTAGAAATATATACAGGACTTGCTAGAAGTTCATGAGAGTTTGTGTTGGGAAGTGTTAAAATTTCGCCCGATTCTCTGTCATCACCTCCCCACTCAGCCTGGCTTCCCAACATCCTACGTGGTCACATCCCAGATCCCAGGAATGGGAATTAGACTGACATCCTCTCTCTGGTCACAAGAGGGCACCATCACCAAGCTCAGAGATGATCTCAGCATCACGCCATCCACAACTGTTGCATTTACTATTTGTAAGAAAATCTGTTACTGATGATAAACTGTATGTTATTAACAAAAGGAGATTTCGTTAAAGCAAGCACATATAAATCAATATATCACAAATCATTATTATTTTCTGAAGATTTAAAAATTACAATGTTTTAAGGCATATTCCTGAGTGAAAATTCAAATATTTTCAGATATTCAAATTCAAAGATTTGAAGTCTAGACTAGAACAAGAAGTCTGCATTCTTTCTCCACACTGGAGACTTATTAACAGTTAGGACTGCTTGTTTCAAATCATTTTCTGCGCATGCACAAAGACAGTTTATAAATACATTTGGGTTTTGCATTTGGGCTTTTTAAAAATAACATTTGATTGGCTTGGGGGCTGCAGTGAACAGTGCTTGGGCTACTCCCTGTGCTCAGGGATTACTTCCTGCAGTGCTTGGGAGACCATGCCAGGACCACGCAGAGCCAAGGATGTTTGGTTTTTACAAATGTTTGTGTGGTATATATTATTCTGCAATTTTCTTTCTCTCTTTCTCCCTTTCTCTCTTTCTCTTTCTTTCCATGCCAGGGATAGAATTCAGGTCCATGCATGCAAGGCATGTGCTTTACCACTAGCCACATGCCCATCCCCAGCAATTTTCTTTTTCCACTTCATGTTTTAGACATCTTTCCATTACCAGGGCACGTAAATCTAACTCACTTCACTCAGTGGTGCCATAATGCCCTGTGTAAGTGTGCACTATCATTTATTTAACTGTTCTTTTACTGAGGGATGATAAGGGTAATCCTAATTCTAATTACAAACATGTCCTACTAAGTTCTAAACTTCTAAACATAGTTTCGTTCTGGTGTTTTATAGGAGAATCTATTTTATTATCTACACTCTTTATATATTTGGCTTTTTGGGTCACACCTGGCAATGCTCAGGGTTTAATCCTGGGTCTGGACTCAGGAATTAATCCTGGGGGTGCTCGGGGACCATATGGGATACCAGGGATTAAAACCAGGTAAACTGCTTGCTAGGCAGATGCCCTACTTGCTATACTCTCGCTCTGGCCCTATACATACTTTTTAATTATCTACAATCTAAATCACTGGTTTCTAGATCTACAAATATTGATTGTCTTCCTTATAGATAAGGAACTAGGTATAGAAATCAAAGTAGGTTGGGGCTGGAGCGATAGCACTGCGGGTAGGGCGTTTGCCTTGCATGTGGCCGACCTGGGTTCGATTCCCAGCATCCATGTAGTCCCCCAAGAACCGCCAGGAGTAATTCCTGAGTGTAGAGCCAGGAGTAACCCCTGAGCATTGCAGGGTGTGACCCAAAAAGCAAAAAAAAAAAAAATCAAAGTAGGTTATAAATGCCTATGATATCTAAAACTCCCTATATGTAAACTACCTAAAGGTTGGGCCGGAACATTAACACATCGGCAGAGCACGCACCATATACACGACCAACCTGACTTTGATCCCTGGTACTCCATATGGTCCCCTGAGCCCCACCAGAAGTGATCCCTGAGCATAGACCCAAGTGAGCACCGCCAGGTGTGCCCATTAACAAATAACCCCCTAAAGATTAGGTTATTTTTTGTTTATAATTTTTGAATTTTTATTAACTCACACTTTTATTAAGTAAGCTTGTTTTCCTTAGAACTAATAATTTCATAGCATGTGCATAAATTCAATGAAAAGATATTTTAATTTTCTGTTACTCTTTTCCATAGGTTAAATCACAGGATATGAGTTTCTAGGTTAGTCCTTATAAGTCAGTCAAAGCTTTATAATGAAGGAAAGCTGCCTTAAAGCCATGGCGAGGCCTCGAGAATCTGAACCCGGAGCTATGGGACATCCAGGAAGGGCAGGAATTCCCTTTCTCATGGTACTCGCTTCTTTTACCCACTGACTCCTGGTTCTTTGCTTGGGGGTCACTTCTGGTAGTGCTCAGGGAGCCATAAGTTACCAGGTTCTAAACTCCAGCATTGCATTGAAGGCACATACTCTATGTCTCCGGTTCTATAAATTTACTTTTCTGGGGGTTCCAAGAAACTAACATTAAATATTTCCTGTGTAGCATGCATGAGAAGAAATTTTTACACATTTTGCCTCATTTAAGTGTCGCAATATTATTCCTATTTTACAGATGATCAAATTGAGGTAAAAGAGGTTCGATGATGACTATGCTCTCAATTAAAAACAAAAACAAAGAAACCTAGAAGTCAAACTCAGAACAAATTTAAAATATGGCTTTGTCTATTGCAGCCAATTCCCTCATGCTTGTCATTTAAGTCTTTTACCTTGACTTTGACCGTTCATTGGCTACCTATGTGTAAGCAGGAGATGGAATCGTAGTTACATATTCTGGCTATCAGTGCTTGTACTTATCTATGTGGGTTGTTTGTTCACTTAGTTCCAATTTCTGCAGCTTATCAATATCGGCTTCTTTGTTTTTCTAAAGAGCAGGCAGGGGCCGAAGCAGTAGTACAGCAAGGAGGGCATTTGCCTTCCACACAGCCAACCTGGGTTTGATCCTCGGCCTCCCATATGGTCCCCCAAGCACCGCCAGGATTAGTTCCTGAGTTCAGAGCAAGGAGTAACCCCTAAGCATCACCAACTGTGATGCAAAAAAATTTAAAAATAAATGTTTTTTTCTAATAAAGAGCAAGTAGACAAAATATCTTGATTTTTGATTGTACCATGTTCATCTTTTACATTTTTAGCAACTACTCTAAACTCTTATTATTTGAACCCTCCAGTGCCTTTTGGGGATAGTCCCCCAGAGCTAGCGGAGACCCCCAGCGACAGCTGCCAGGTGAACAGATACGGCTACTTTGAAGCTGTGCTGGCCATTGTCGGTAAGACCATTAGGAAGGACACTGGCTGGTCTGCATCCCTTGCACTGGCCTCCTCTGCAGGGTTGGGGTGGGGACTGTGGGGTCCACTCTCCATCTGAGATGATGCCCCATGGGAATGAGCAAATTCTCCACTGGTTCCTAGATGGCACCTGCCCCCGCCCTCCTCTTTCTTTCCATGGGGTGGGGGCTGGAACTTGCCTTATAGGGCCCTCACTCAAGTGAGTCTCCCTGGGCCTGGATCCCCTCTCTTCACCTCTCTTCACCCCCACATGACCCAACCCTCTACTGGCTTTCCCCAAGGCCAGTAGAGGGTCCTAACAACTTCTACTTCATCCCCTCACCAACCTCAGGGGAGGGAGGCTGGCACATAGGGGTGAGAATTTGGGGCCCAGCTTACTGGCACCCCACAGAGAAAAGGCCCAGGCTGAACAGCTGGGTTCTGATCTGTGAAACTGGTTGCTCTGGTTGTTTGGGGGGTGGTGTATCAGGGGGCTCGGAATTTGGTGCTGGGGGTAAGTGCTTTGGGAGGTGCTGGGGAACATACCTGGGGCCCTGCATGTACCCTGGCCCCTGATGAGAGGCATTTGGTTGGTTTGGTTTCCTCTGGGCTCTGATGTGCTTCTCTGTGGGCATCTGTTGTTAGAGGGAATTCTCCAGGTCAACATCGTCCAGATGACGCATGTTACAGAGTCCGTGCCGCAGCCTGAGCCTGATGATGCCATGATGGATTTTGTCATAACCTGCCAAGGGGCGTAAGTACCTCTCCACTCAGAGGAGCAGGCCAGGGGAAGCCCCCAGACACGAACCAAGGCCTGACCAAGTTCATTTATTTATGTCGGGTTTGGGGCCAGCCCTTGCTGTCTGTGCTCAGGACTTACTCCTGGCCCTGCACTCAAAGATCTCTCCTCTCAGGGGGACCCTATGAGGTGCCAGGACCTAAAGCAGGTCAGCAGTGTGCAAGGCAAGCGCCCCACCTGCTGAGCTGTCACTTCAGTCCATTGACCGATTTAAATCCCTAGTTTTTGATTAAATCCCTAGTTGACTTAAATTCCTGATTGATTCCCGCCCCCCGCCCCCCAATCCTGACATTCCTCCTGCTTTATATAATGTGGTTTCCAGTTGGAGTGATAGAGAGGTAAGGCAATTGCTTGCATACAGCCAACCCATGTTGGATCCCCAATAATACATTTAGTACCTTGAGCCCTACCAGGAGTGATGTCAGAGTGCAGAGCCAGGAGTAAGCCCTGAGCTCTCCTAGACGTGACCCCAAATTCAAAATCACCAACAAAACACGTCACCATATGGTTTGCTGAAGAGTAAGGTGGAATGTGGCTCTACAGAGGTGACATTATTCTCCTACCTTCCTGCCCTGTGTCCTAGGGCCCCCACGGAGGTCTGCACCATCATTTCCGACCCTGCCTGCCAGACAGCCCAGAACACAGTTTGCAACTCTGTGGCCGCCAGCCTGGATGACTCGTGCTTGTTGACTGTGAGGAGAGCCTTCCACAGCTCTGGAATGTTCTGCATGAACCTCACTCTGGGTAATGGTGAGAGCCTGGCCCTCACCAGCACCCTCGTCTCTGTGCCGGTTAGAGGTGAGTGTTTTTTGAGCTGTGGCACATTGTCCCGAAATATTCAATTCGGACACCATTCTGGGGCTTAGCACAGGAGCATTTAATTTTATTTCCAAGCAAACTTGACTGAACAGTTGGTTGTTCATGTGATTCTGAGAGCTGGCCTGAAAATCCAATGGTAGGAGTCGAAGAGACAGTGCAGTGGGCAAGGCACTGCCTTGCATGCCGTCAGCCCAGGTTTGAGTCCCAGCATCTCATATGGACCTCCAAGCCCACCAGGCCAGCAGTAAGCCTTGAGCACTGCCGGATTGCTTATCACTCCCACTCCCCCACACCCCCATACCCCCCCACCCTGTAAAAAAAAATAATAATAATAATCCAATGACAAATCCACTTTGGGATGAGACTCAGGGAAACTGGCCAAAGAACAGGCTCGTGATGACCACAGTCAGCAGTAGCGACCGATCTGGAATAGGATGTGGGCCCAATGGAATAGATATGTGTTTTGAGATCATCACGTCCAGTCTGCCATCCCAAAATGACAATGTTGGGGCTGGAGTGATAGTACAGCAGGTAGGGCGTTCGCCTTGCATGCAGCCAACCTGGGTTCAATTCCCAACATCTCATATGGTCCCCTGAGCACCACCAAGAGTAATCCCTCAGTGAGGAACCAGGAGTAACCCCTGTGCATCACCAGGTGTGACCCCCCCCAAAAAAGAAAAAAACCAAAACGACAGTATTCTCCAAATAAACCACAACCAAAGAGACTCGGGTGCTTTTGGCAGTAGAGCCCATCTGGGCAAAGAAGAGAATGAGAGAACCAATGACTTCCCACTCCCTCCCAAGGCTCTCCCCTCCCCAAATCTTAGCCAGGAGACAATTTCCCCACCCTTCCGCTTTCTCCCGAAGACCCTTTCGAGTGCCTGCACAGGTTAGTAACTAAGCAGACTAATGAACTTCACTGAGACATTTTCATTGACTGGTGGCTTCCCATGTGCCTCAACCCTCAAATCCAGAGGTCTGCCATGTCGCTTGCTGAATTTCACTTAAAACTAACTTTGTTCTGATGCCTGGCTTGATCACCTAAAAGAAGTATGGTGGGAAAATGGAAAGGACAGCTTGAATTCAGTTATAAGCACACTCATTTTGTTCTTTAATTTGAGTGTTGTCAGATATAATCTGTTTATTAACTCTCAAATAAATCCTTTAGGGACAGAAAGATGGTACAATGGGTAAAGCGCTTCCCTTGCATTCTTGCAGTTCAAATCCCCAGCACCATGTCTAGTCTCCCAGGTGCTGCCAGGGGTCACTTCTGAGTATGGAGTCTTCCTGGGGCTTTGGATTTTCTTCTGCACTAAGGAAAGCGATTGGCGGTTTTGAGACATGATCTTACTGCAGTTTTTGCAAGATGATTCTTGGGGCTGGAGAGAGAGTGCAGTGAGTAAGGCACTTGCCTTGCATGTGGCCAATCCAGGTTCAATCCCTGACACCGCTTTTGGTCCACTGAGCCCACCAAGAATGATCCCTGAGTGCAGAACCAGGAGTAAGCCTTGAGCACTGCAAGGTGCGACTCCAAAACAAATGAATGAATGAAATTATTCTGGCTGCTGAGTGACACACGGGTCCCTGAAAGGTCAAAGTGAAGCAGGGTGCAGTCATCCAGGGATACTACCCAGAGAAAGGGCTGATGGCCAGGCAGAGGAGATGAAAGAAAGATCAGTTATGTTTGTTTTTGTTTTGGGGCCACACTTGGCAGTGCTTAGGGATCGCTCCTGGTGGGGCTCAAGGGGCCATATGGGGTGCTGGATTCAACTCAGTTGGCTTTGTGCAAGACAATACCCTACTTGCTGTACTAGAGCTCTGACCCCAGAAAGATCGATTCTGGTCAGACTTTGGTCATTGAGACAAAATCACCTATGATTTGCTCAATTCTGGAGTCCAGAGGAGACATCATTCTAACTTCATGCTTCTTGACATCTTGTATGAGAGGAGCATATGTGACGTACTTAAGGACTAGATGGAAAGGGCCAAAGGTAGCACAGCAGGCAGGATATTTACCTTGCACTGGCCAGCCCGGGTTCAATCCCCGGCACCCCATATGGTTCTCCAAGTACCACCAGAAGTAATTCCGGAGTGCAGAGCCAGGTGTGGCCCCAAAACAAACAGAAGAAATAGTTGCAAAGAAATAGGTGTAACATCTGACAAGGGGTTGATATCAAGGATATACAAAGTACTGGTTGAACTCCACAAGAAGAAAACATCCAACCCCATCCAAAAATGGGGCAATGAAATGAACAGAAACTTTCTCAAAGAAGAAATCCGAATGGCAAAAAAGCACATGAGAAAATGCTCTACATCATTAATCATCAGGGAGATGCAGATCAAAACCACAATGAGATATCATCTCACACCTCAGAGACTGGCCCACATTCAAAAGAACAAAAGCAACCGATACTGGCGCGGATGTGGCGAGAAAGGGACACTCCTTCACTGTTGGTGGGAATGCTGACTAGTTCAGCCCTTTTAGAAAACAGTATGGACGTTTCTCAAAAAATTAGAAATTGAGCTCCCATTTGACCCAGCGATACCACTCCTGGGAATATATCCCAGAGAGGCAAAAATGTGTAGTCGAAGTGACATCTGCACTTGTTTGTTCATTGCAGCACTCTTTACAATAGCCAGAAACTGGAAGAAACCTGAGTGCCCAAGAACAGATGACTGGTTAAAGAAACTTTGGTACATCTACACAATGGAGTACTATGTAGCTCTTAGAAAAGATGAAGTCATGAAATTTACATACAAGTGCTACAATATGGAAAGTATCATGCTAAGTGAAATGAGTCAGAAAGAGAGGGATAGACATAGAAAGATTATATTCATCTGGGGAATATAAAGTAACAAAATATGAGATTAATACCCAAGAATAGCTGAGATCAACACCAGGAGGATTACCATAGCTTAGAGGCCAGCTGGGTATTCTAGGGGAAAGGGCAGTTCAGATAGAGAAGGGAGCACCAAATAAAGGGTGTTTGGAGGATCCTCCCAGGAGGGGAGATGCATGTTGAAAGTAGACTATGGACTGAACATGTTTGCCACTCAATGCCTCTTTTGCAGACCACAACACCCAAAAGGAGAGAGAGAACAAAAGGGAATGCCCTGTCACAGAGGCAGGGTGGGAGGGGGGATGGGGGGGATATTATCCATGGTGGTGGAAAATGGGCACTGGTGGAGGGATGGGTATTTGATCATTGTATGACCGAAACCCAAGCACAAAGATTTGTAAATCTACAACTGTACCTCATGGTGTTTCACTAATAAAAAAAAATAGGTGTAAAAAAAAATCTGGGCTTGAGAGCCTTGATGTCAGCCTGATGTCAGCTTGATGTCAGCCTCTCTTTTCAGTCCCAGCCTCCCCCTTGAGAACAACAAATGGTGTCCTGGTCTCTATTGACTTTATGGCTATATTTGTCACAGTGATCACCTTCTTTATGTACAAGGTTAAGGTGCTGGTTTAGGAGCTTGCCACACATGTCTCTAACCCCAGTTTGATTCCCCTCTACCCAAAAAGGGTTTTCCTCTGCTCCTCAGGAGTGACCCCTGAGAACAGAGACATGAGAAAAACCTGCAGACAGCCAGGTGAAAAAAAATTTAGAAATTAACACGAAATCTAGCTTTATGCAGTAGAAACCTGTGTAAGAGCAACACAATATGAGGGCTGCAGAGGAGGAGGCCAGGAGGTCCCAGAGTCTTGCGCTGTGTGGAAGGCATCTGGGGGCCTGGACACAGACCAGGGGAAGCGTGTGGCCAGTGTGCACTGGAGAGCAAAGATTCATGGCCAGGCTGGCAGGTTTGTGGTGGGAAATAAGTGACCCATGGTTTGGGCAGGACCAGGGGCCCTTGATCACATGGGCACTGCAGGGGCAGCTGAGGCCCATACAGGTGACTCCAGACCACACAGGATATCCTGTGACCTTCACACTGTCTTCCTGATTGGCTGCCTTGTTTAAGTGGGACACAAGTGACCCACAGGCCACTGGGAAAGATTGCAGATAGCTGGGCAGCGGGCATGGACCTTCCACTAGCTCCTTCCCCTGTTGCATGAGTTGCATTACACACAGCATGTCCTCTGCATAGGAGACCCCTAACCCTGTCCTGCCTCTCTTTTCAGCCCCAGCCTCCCCGTTAAGAACGACAAATGGTGTCCTGGTCTCTGTTGGCTGCGTGGCTGTATTTGTCACAGTGATCACCTTCTTTATGTACAAGTAAGTGGCTGGTTCTAATTCAGCAAATCTTTATAGCCTACAATCCAAAATTCATGACATGCTTCTGCACAAATGGGCCATTTTCCTCTTTTTTAAAAAAAATTTTTTTTCCTTTCAAACATTTTGTTTGTGGGAGGAAGCTCTTCCATCAAACAATGAATACAAACTAGTCTGTTAATTTTGCTGTGGTTTTTTTTTTCCAAGCCTGAAAATGCTACCAGATGTCAGTCACTTTACAAATTGTCTGCTTAATGTTTAACATATAATCTCAAATTATAGCAAGCAGGCACATTTCTTCCATGAAGAAGAGAGAGAAAATACAGTTACAGAAGACATCCGTGTCTGACAAGCTGTAGATTGGGGCAAATGGAAGGAACCCTTTTGCAGTGGGCTCGTAAAAGATTCTAGAAAGTAACAGATCCCAGCTGGAGAGTGGTTCTTAATCGAATCCATTGTTTGCAGAAAACACAAGGAATACAGACCAATAGAAAGCAGCACCAGCATCGTGGTCAAAGGCAGAGGCCTGAACGTCTTCCTCCACCGTGCTAAGGCCGTGTTTCTTCCCAGGAGCCAGGAGAAAGATCCTCTGCTCAGGAACCAGTCAGCCAGCCCCTAAGTCCTGCTTCTGTCTCCCTCAGCACCTCCAGCACCGCTTATGAGAGCTGCGCCAGAAGGGCTGATGGTTCACTTTCCCCCTAAAGATGCTTGTAAATACACACTGCGGTTGGCGGGGTCCATTTTTATTTAATAGGTTAAATGGCATCTTCAAGGTGTGCGGTGGAAGTCCATGCCTGCAGCCTCCAACCTAGCGTCTAACTAACCTGTCAGCAGTGCTTGCTTTCACTGTAATTCATGCCTCGGAATTTGGCTAGAGTCAGCTGTGTCCAGAGAGTAGGGAGAAGGTGCTCTTCACTAGAGCCTGGTCTGATTTGACTAGAAGGAGACACTGAACTCTTTAGTTTTCCACTGCAGAAAACCAATGGGTGCCCAGTCCTTCCACTCATGCCCCCTGCAGACTGAACTCATGCCAAAGAAGGCACATGAGCTCCGAATAGAGAGAAAGAAGGCCATGCCTTGAGTGCTGTGCACATGCAGTGTTGTTATCCTCAAAAAAGAAACTTAACTGGCCTGAAAGACAATCCAGCAGCTACAGCACAGTGCAATCAGGCACCCTGCATGCTCCAAGTCGGGTCCAGCCACTGACAGCACTTCTAGTTCCCTGAGCCCTGCTAGGAGTGATCCCTGAGCACAGAGGATCACTTGGTAAGTGCAGCCAGATGGGACCCAGAAACCACAGAGAACAGGATGCCTGGGTGTGAATACATTCATGACGGTCTGCCCTGCTTAGCTATGTGAAGGGACAACAGTTGCTTGTCACTTATCCCACAGACATTGATTTGGCATGCTATATCTGTATGTCTGGCATGTGGCTACATACATGGTCCTGCACTCAGAATCCACAGAAACCCAGAGCTCTGGATTTTCTAATGATACACACTTTGGAAAGGGGGTGTTGCAATTTATTTTTATAAAGGGAACCCACTGCTTTTTGAGTAAAATTAAACAGAATGAACCAATGAGGTCTTTACTCTATATAAATGTAAGGAAAACTACCACATTTCAAGAAATAACATTTTCTGTCATTTTCTACCATATTCTAGACTTCCTGAAAAAATAAAGTAGAAAAAGTGAGTATGTTGAAATTGGTCATTATTTTTCCAATTTATATTTTTGCTGTTCAATTTTATTCATAGTGTTTGCGGCATTAAGAGTTGCTGAGTGCTGGCCAGTGAAGCACTGACAATCTCATACGTGTTTTATATTTTAATATGTTATGTGGGGTGCCAGGGAAATAGTTCATCATACTGAGCACATGCACTGCATACGGGAAGCCCAGGTTTGATCTCTGACCCCACATGGTCCCCTGAGTACTATAGGAAGTGACACCCTGAGCACTAGTAGCCATAGTCCCCAGACTACACACACACAAGTGTATCGTATTTTTTACCCCAAGTTAAATACATAAATGGTAGCTGAGCTGATCTAAAATAAGAGCTTTTCTATAAGCAATTGTTTAATATGTTAAACAATATATTATATAGGCAAGGGGGGTTATTCTAGTTTACTGATTCAGCAACCAAGCTTTTTTCCCAAATGGGTCATGTAAATAATATTCTTGGCTTCGTAGAGTTGCTGTTGGACTATTCAATTCTACCATTATAGCACAAAAGCAACCATAGATGCAGATAAAAGAGCATGGCTGCATTCCAGCGAGAAAGCATTGACAGAAAGAGGCAGTGGGCTGGACTGGGCCCATAGATCATAGCTGGAGAACCCAGCTTCTGGGATAAAGATAGCTAAACATGGGGCCAGAGAGGTATTACAGTGGGTAGGGCTTTTGCCTTGCACACAGCTGTCCTAGGTTCAATCCCCGGCATCCCATGTGGTCCCCCAAGCACTTCCAGGAGTGATTCCTGAGGGCAGAGCTAGAACTAACCCCGGAGCACTGCTGGGTGACCAACCCCACCCTTCTCCCCCCACCAATCCCCCCAACACCCGCAAAAGAAAAGTGGCTTAAGAGTCACTGTAGTCCAGTGTAATCCACAAAGCTGGACTGCATTTTTTTCCTTTCCTTTGAAAAAAAAAGGGGGCCAGGAAAGATAATCTTTGAACAGCTGAGGAAAATTTCAAATACACTCTGGATACCGAATGCTATTATATATAGAATTATTAGTAATTTCCCCCCTTGCTTTTATTGTTGTACAGACTCAAAGTCACAAGCACTTGTGGTTGTATGGCTCAGACCCTCGGTTGTAGATCTCAACAGTGCTCACACATCTGGTTGTGGTGTCTACATGCTCTCCCCCTTGGCTCCCCCTAGATGCCTGTAAGGGTCACACGCATTAGTGTGTGTATGTGTCCTTGTGCTCAGGGGGTCCCACTCTTGACTACAGTGTTTACATACCTTTGTTGAGTTGTTTAGTTGCAAGCCACTAAAGAACACACTTCTGGTGCCGGCATCCCAAAGAGCAGAGAGCTGAGACCCTACACAGGTCTTGTGGGCAGCGCTAGGGATGGGACTCCTGGCCTCATATTTGACTTACATTTGCAAGGGAGCCACTTTCACCACTGAACCATCTCCCAGAGCCTCTATTCTGTCTTTCTCCTGGCAGTACTAATACGTTTTATTATTATCCCTTATCTTTCACAACTCTAAAATCCAGTGTTAGTTCTTTTTTTTTATAAATTGGAAAACAGAGGCTCAGGATAGTTGAATATATTACTGCAGCAAAATGACTTAGAGCCAAGTAAACTATTGTTTCAGATGTGTTTGCCCTTGTTTCTTTCTTGAAGAACTGTTGCATCATAAGATCATACAGGCTTCAGGTGTTCATCACTAGAATTGGACCCATGTACACATTGCATTATGCTCCCCACAGCAAGCCTGATTCCATCGCTCATCAGACAGTTTACCCCCTTGATTTGATTTACCCGCCCGCTTCCCTCCTGGAAACCACTAATTGGCCTTGATCTAAAGTTTATTTTTGTTTTATTTAGTTCATCCACTTGTTTGTTTTCTCTAAATACCACATAGGAGTGAAATCAGATGGTGTTTCTCTTTCTTCTTCCAATTTATTTCACTTAGCATAATGCCCTCCAGCTCCATCTGCATTATTGCAAGTGGCTGCAGGCAGAATTTTATTTTTTGAGGTAGGGAGCGGTATTTTGGGCCACACCTGGCAGTGCTTAGATGCTACTCCAGACTCTGTGCTCAAAGGGTCACTCCCAGCCCTGCTCAGGGGACCATGTGGTGGCCAGGGACAAAGGCTGATTTTCTTAAGGAACGGTGAAGTTGTTACGAAAACTGCTATTAGAAGTCTGCTTTTCACTTTATAAATGACCCAAAGAAACAAAATCATCTTCTTCGTTCTAAACCCATCTTGATAGGTACAAAATTTGTAGAACTGGCTGGGAATGTGGTTCAGTAGTGGAGCAGTTGCCTCATTTACACGGGGCCCTGGGTTCGGTCCCCAGCAGCACACAGGCATGAGCAGACCTTTATGAGGTGTGGCATTTCTCTCCATTTGTGTGTTGGCTCAGGTCAGTGGTTCCCTGCCACAGATCACTTTGCCCATTCAACAACAGTGCCAACATCAGGGATTTCGGGCTGGCACATCTAGGGTGGATGCTACTGACATTCGGCGGCTAAAGATCAGGGATGTTGCAAAAATTTCTACAACTGGGCTGGAGTCATAATACAGCGGGTTGGGCACCTGCCTTGCACACTGCTGACCCAGGCATCCCATATGGTCCCTTGAACTCTGTCAGGAGTTACTTCTAAGCACTGTCAGGAGAAAGCCCTGAGCACTAAGTGTGCCCCAAAACAAAAACCCCAACCCTACAATCTATAGGACAACAAAGAAGTGTTTAGCCTCAAATATCAGCAGTCTTCATTCTTACAGGAGAGCAGTTGAAGAGAACTGAGTGGGATGGACTTGGATTTGAGTCCTGAGTAACCTGTTCTGTGTGTAGAGGGTTTATCTGGGTTTTGTTTGGGTTTTTTTTTTCGCTTTTTGGGTCATACCAGCGGTTCACAGGGGTTACTCCTGGCTCATGCACTCAGGAACTACGCCTGGTGGTGCTCGGAGGACCATATGGGATGCTGGGAATCGAACCTGGGTCTGCCGCGTGCAAAGCAAACGCCCTACTCGCTGTACTATCACTCCAGCCCCTATTTGGGTTTGGTTTTTGGTGCTAGAGATCCAACCCAGGGCCTCACACCAGCAAAGCATGAATACCAGCAGAGCTGAGCTTCTTTCTGCCAACACTTATTTATTTATTTATTTATTTATTCGTTTGAGAGTCACATCCGGCAGTGCTCAGGGCTTACTCCTGGCTCTGCACTCAGGGCGAGCTTGGGGAACCATATGTGGTGCCAGGGATGGAACAAGGTGGTCTGAACCTGGTGGTCTGCATACAAGGCAAGCGCCCTACCTGCTGCACTATCACCCTGGCCCCTGAAACTTGATTTTTTCATGACCAGTAATCCTCACAGTTAGAAAGATAATATCAAGTTGCAGTAGAACCACCTGGACTCATGTTAAAACAAAGCCTTAGGGACATGCAGAGTTTCTCATGCAAAGTTTCAGGACGGGACCCCATCATTTGGATTTCTCTGCACTTTTCAGGTAATGCTGGTACAGCTTCTCTCAACAATGAACTTTAGAAAATGCAGGACTGGCCTAGAGGCCTGGTCTTCTCGTCTTATACCAACAGGGGGCAGCAGAGAGCAGCAAATGTACCCAGAGACCTCACAGAAGGCTATGGAAATTTTCTTTGAACCTCCCTCCATTTCAATCTATCAAGTAGCAGGAAAAGGGACAGGAATGATGAATTATTTAGATTTACAGTCTTCATGTGACCTTATCAACATGTCATTTAACCTCTGTTTAATCAGTATTTGTAAAACGGGGAAAATAACCTAAAAGATAGTGGGATGACTTGATGAATGTTTGCTGAGAATTAGTACTTCCGAAGAAAATTGAAACGTATAGGTAATAGATTATTCTGGGAATTTCTTATTCCTAGGACTTTTGATAAATGCCTTCATTTAAAACACTTTGGCTCATTCATAAACATGATCTTTGATTGTCTACAGGGTAGTGTTTTCAGAGTGTTCATTATGCCCAGCAAGTATAACCCCTAACCTGG